TCATCGGTAAGTGCTAATTCATTATACAGTGAGTTTGCGGCGCATGATAATCGGAGGGCTAGCATCTGTAAATTTTCCTTGTCCAGCTTATAATGCTAAAAATAGTGCATCCACATTAAACTTGTCCATTATTTTATTGACAGCTTACAAAATTTCTCAAATGTTCTACCGCTTCCAGTATGATCTCCTGATGTCCAATTGTGTACACGCCCAGGTGTTCCAAATCATCGGATCTCAAGCTCAGTAACTGATTGCCTTTCACTTCATTGTTCACAAACGATTTTGTGTAGGGAGCGATCACACTATCCAGTCCTGTACATGAAATCCCGGATTAAAATACTTTCAAATAAAAACTATAAACTCATATGCGTTTTTTTAGTGACAAAAAGGGGCAATTTTGCCCCCATTTAACCCACATTGTATCTCTCACTGTTATAGAGATCCCGAGAGAGATCCTAATAGTGAGCCACGAATTTGAGCCACCCTGAACTTATCTTCTTCAAATAAATTTATTAATAATCAAAAATATAAATCAATAAAACGAAACAGCTGGTACTCAACCTGTTAAATAAATATAATGCATAATGTCCAACTTCGTTGAATTGGGTATGCACGAGCGTACACATTTTTCTGAAAAAAAATTTTCCCTAAGAATCGAATCCGAGCTACCCGGGTGCAATCCTGGTATCCTAGCCACTAGATCATTATAGCACATGTTAAATCGTGACTAAACTAAGTTAACATTTCATCACATTGAGGGGAAGGGGAACCTATAGGACGCATGCCCACAAGGAAGCAGTTACTTACTCTCGTGTTCTCGTGGTAAAAAGTGATCGGACCTAACCTCATTTCTATAACACCCTATACATTTTAATCTAAAAATATAGGATATTAAATTACCTATCTTCAAAAATACAACACACCAGGGATGATAAGTATTACAAAAAATTCAAAAAGGTTTAAAAAAAGATTCAAAAAATACTTTACATTGCAATGCACAGATATATGGATATTAAAATAATTAAACAAAATTAAATTAAGTGTTTTGAAAATTTGTCAAAACTGTCAATCATATGTATTACTGTTTACTTTTCTATCTATTTTCTTTACGGGAATAACTCTGTCCGCGTCCGTAGTTTACTACACGTGTTCCCTGGATATCAAATAAATGCACAGAAAAACTCAAAGAATAGTCAGTTCAGTCCACTCGATCACCTGTCTCAAGCAGTGCATCTCCCTTTCAACAACAATTATTAATCAGCCCTTGCTTGATGGTTGTACAACTTAACATTGAAGGCATATCCAAGAGAAAATGTGAGTTTTTATCTAAATTCGGTTCTAGTAAAAATATTGATGTAACAACTCCCCAAGAAACACACACGAGTAAAAAATACATAAAAATTGTGAAAAGATTGTTGAATTGTTTAGTGTTATGCTTTTGGAAAAAGAAACTAATATGCCATTTTATTAGATTAAAATATGCAGGGTGTTCCATTTAAAAAATGCTTATTTTGAACATAAAGAAACATTTTTCTCGATTTTTCTGTATGTTTTAACAGAGGTTTTAACTAAGGACCATTCAAAACTTGATAATCACACTATCCAGTCCTGTACACGAAATTCCGGATTAAAATACTTTCAAATAGAATCTATAAACTCATATGCCTTTTTTTAGTCACAGTTTCGGCAGTATCTCTTAAGTGAGCCCATATTTTCGAATTTTGATTTTAAGCTTGAGGCTATATTACTTTTTTGCTAGCACTAACAATTACTGAGATACCCTATAAAAGTGTCGCAAATGGGACACCCTATACATGCAAGTATGTACTTAGGTATAGCAACTACATATTATCATACCCCCGATAATAATTTTATTAAAAATCGATTACTTAATCCTCGACTTAATCGAAAAAACAAGTTTTCCAATCCTAGAAAAGTGCAAAAACAGGATGTCTGGTCAGTTGCACAGAAAGTAATAATATTAACAGTTGTTTCTTATGGCTAAAAATAAGTGTGTGGCGGTTCATTTGTCAAAAAATACTTCAACTACAGTGCTCTATAAAAGGGACCTATATCATTAGCTTAAAATACCTACCACAGGACTTGTGTATGTTATTACTACATACTAGAAGTGGACCCAATAAGTTGCCTTGAGGAATGTCTTAAGCTAGGCTTTAAGTATTGAAGTATACTGGCTTATTTTCAAGTCTTTTTTTATTAATTAATTCTTAGTCACAAGCACCAAATCAAAGAACAACAGGAAGTGTTGTGCAAAAATTATCTGTATTTGATTGGGCCATCTTTGAATAAACCATGACCACATTACATTTCCTTGTGACTAACAACCAGACAATATTATTTGAGAATCGTTATTACAAATCGATCGCAAATATGAATCATAATCCTTGTAACATGAAGCATTAGTTGCGATTGGGTGTGGATTTCATTTAAGTATTTACGATCAAGTCACAGCGCAATTAAATAGTTACGGATCATTGGCCAAACCACCATCTCTCACAAATCAGTTTTAAAGATATGCTATTTCCGTGATAAGAAAGCACTTAGGCCTACACTTCCTTTTGTTATTTATAATCAACCGGATAATTACCTTTCAACCATTCCGTAACTTGCTCCACAGACCAATCCTTCACGTTAACGTAAGCCATAATTTGTACTGAAAATAAATTACTTTAGGTAATTAAAGAAATTATTAGATAACTTCTTACTTTTCTGAAAATTAAATCTAAACACAAACGCACCGAAAATTAAAACAAAAGTAAAACAATTG